GCGTGTGTGTGTGTGTTGTCGCCATATAGCGATTTGTGACTCAATGACTAAAATAACAAAAACAACAACAACAACTAGTGCAGCAGAAGCAGCAGCAGCATGAAAAGCAACTGACAGCATAGTCGTTAACCGCAGCAAAGCCACATGGTTTGGCGGCTATCGTATGTCATGCGGCGCGCCGCAACGCAATTGTCGCGCTGATGGCTTTACAACGCACTGCTGCGCACCAATCCACGCAAACACACCAAATGTCTGTGCGTACGCATATGCATTTATGAAAGTATATTCTGTGCGCATTTCACATGCACAACATTTTCGGCTGCCCTTTAATACTCAGCGCTCGCTTTATATTCACAGCGCTCACATGCGTTAGTGTATATATGTGTATCTGGTAATTAAAGCGCTGCTTTTATGTATGCGTATGTGCGTGGCGAAAAGTCAAAAATAGCATGGCTTTTAGCATGCGGAAAAAGCTCACTTCGCCGCGCTGTCTGTCGCTCTCTTCGTTTCGCAGTCGCCCACCGCATTACCAACTACCCAATTAGCGTTAATTGTTTTACACGCGTTTTTGAGTCCAGCACTTAGCCACAACAACAAGTACAAAAAATATGTGCAGATATGCACAAATTTACATATACAGCAGCAAACATATATTTGTTTATTAATTTGAGTGCAAAGCGCGCAGCCACTCACCACCGCGCCACACCCAAACACACACGCTCACGCGTTCTCCATACATTTAGTCAATAAAATTGGCGCTGGAAATTGCGTTAGTATCACTGCTTTTGCCTAATTGAATTCTGTGGCATATACGTATGTGTGTCTGATTGCGCTTAGCTGAGATTACAAAAACTTTCGCGCACAAAATGTAATTTCTGCAGTTTGATTTTCGAAAATACTGGTGAGCGTTTTGGGTCAATGGGATTTGGCTGAAATAATTGAATATTCAACCTTACACTTGAAATTATCGAATTCAAATGAGTCTCAATTTCAACTTACAGTTTTTTACTTTGTATGACAGGCAAAAACTGGATATTGAAAGGAATTGAAGCGTTTTGTTTGAAACTTTTAGTAATTATTTTTAAGTGATCAAAAATATTTGAAATATTGTCAAAACTCGAAATCACTATATCGGGTACATTAGGGTTAGCAGAAGGTCTGATTTGATTTGAAACATGATAACTCACACATCGGCCGTTATATGCGGTATATGTAAAGTAAAATATCAAACATCAATATACAATACATGGTATACTCAGTATGTTAAGGTAATTCGTGGACCGATTTCAGACATTTTGCTAAGATAAACAAGTATGTAGGTTTATACGGTATAAAGTCTACCAGATAATTGGAAATCTTTTATTGGGTATATGTGGGACATTGAAAGTATTGACACGATTTTAACTACCTTTGCCACAAGAACAGATATTTATCAGAAAAAAATCGCTCTCATATCCATAGGCACTGTCGTCCGTGTCGTGCTCAGCTCCTTCCATTAATGGAAAGCTACAAAAATTGCCAATTAGTAAGGATTGCGTCGGCTTATCATTTATGATGAATTGTCTGCTTGAAATGTCGAAACATAAATTGCCACTAAAAATGGGACAACTTGCTGAGCAAAGATCAAAAGCACAAGTTCAAAAGAACACACATTAAGAAACATAACACAAAGAAAGATAACAATAATAACAACAACTACAAGAGCGAAAAAGTACAAGAAACCACAGCGGCGTGTGACTGCTGCGAGTATAGTATTACTTAACATATGCCCACCTAAAGCATCATATTACTCATACGCCCAGTGGCCCCACAAGAAACAACCCAACAGTACACAGCAGCAGAAAAGGCAGGTGGTAACATAAGTACATAAGTTAGGCATTGCTGTGTCAACAGCATAATGAAAGAGCACAGTCAGGTGACGACAACTAGGCTGACTGAGCCTAACTGAGGCTGACTCGTACCGTTTGGCTGTAAACTGACAACCTCAGCAACCACAATGGAATTCTCTTGAGAGTTATGTGCAGGCAAAACGGCAGCAGTTAGGAAAAGTGAGGGTGTGTAAAAGAATGATGAGATCAACGCAAAATGACAGCGAAACAATGCGGAAGCACCTAACAAGGTTGCCTACCATAATTCATGCGCCAAAAACAGCAACAATTACTATCACAGCATGTGCAAACGACGCCGCTACGTGTATGGAGCGTAGGGAGGATGCATGTGCGTACGTGGGTGTGAAGTGAAACGGGTGATATGTCAGCTGTCAGCTATCGCTTGCGTCGCACTGTGCGTCTGTCAGGCGACGAGCGGAGGCAGTGCGCCCTTTGCAGTCGCCTATGATTATTGTTGAGGCTTCGATTGTGACGGCGCAGCGAATACTGTGTGGCGTGCGTTGTGTACCGCTTTTCTTTTTCTTCTATTTTTATATTTACTCGTAAAGTACATATTTTTTTTGCAGGTGTCTTTATGTTGTCTACGGCAATTTCGTTTAGCTTCATTGGCAACGTGTTTTCGGCGGACTAATGAATCCTGACACTGTTTGTCTTGATACCTGCAAGTTGGTGGGTACGACAAGTCGGCGCTGAGTTTTATAAACGAATCTGGAGATGGCAGTCATACTTGAGGTACAGTGTTGTCAAATTGAGCAAAAATATCGTAAAACAAGAAAAATTAAAGCTATAATTCCCTTCACAAGTACAAAGCATTCCTTACAAGAACTTGATGTCCATCGGTTTGAACAATAATTCATGCAAAATTTGTGGAAGATATCTCGCCAAATTGAAAAGTTTTCCTTACTTGATTCCGATCCTGCAGTTTGTATGACAGCTATATGCTACAGTGATCCGATATCGGAGGCTCCGACAAATGAGCAGCTTTTTAGTGAGAAAAGAATGTGCGCAAAATTTTAGGACGATAGCTCCAAGGCTGAGTAACTAGTTCGCGTATATACAGACAGATAGACGAGCATGGCTAAATGGACTCAGCTCATCACTCTGATAACTTATATACATACTCTATAGGGTCTTCGACGTCTTCTTCAGCGTATTAGAAACATCATAACAAACTTATTATAAAGACTGGCAGAATCTAAATAAATTAGTGATAAGAAATAAGTTTTTTTGTAAAACTTTCTTCGATAGTTCGAAATAAAATCGATGATCCACAAGCTAAAGCGCGATCAAAGACGACATGGACGCGATAAAAAGGTCCAGCAAAGTAATACCGTATTTAGTGAAGATAGTGACAAGCTGGCTTACCTCTTCTATATAGGGTTCTTTGCATGTTAATAACGACTTCATTCGGCAACAAAAAGTATAGGATAGACTAGCCTCTAATCTCTTTATAAAAAAAGTAACAAAGTTAAAAGCAGAGAATACCTAAGATGTTGTAGTTTTCGCATACAATTCATGGCAATACAAATTTGTTAAGACACTCCACTTTTCCAGAAAATAAGCTTAATTAAACATATTTTAAGATAATAATATTGATTGTAGAAGAGATCTGAGGCAGCTGGCAAATAACTGATATTGATTTATTCATGAATAGTCTTAACGAAACAACACCCTATTTAATTTAATATTTCAATATAGAACGAATACTATATTCCAAACTATTTTCCTGTTAGTAATTACTTTTCCTATATTATTTTACACTGTGCACAGTCAAAAACCAGCGCCTACTTATCATCATTTTCTACTTATGTCTTCAACCGCTTTCACCGCTAACATCCAATTTTCTACGCCTCACACAAAACCACCGCTCCCAAAGGTATACTACACAATATGCTTACAACTATAAACAGCTGTTGTTTTGACAACGTAAAGCTCCTGCTGATAAGTCTGCTATTAATGTTGTTTTGTTTTCCTGTCATCTTGCACTGCTACTCCCAGTCACTTGACATTCTCTTTTTACTGCCAGCGCCCAAAATTATATTTGATTTATCAAAGCTGCGATATTCAGACTGTCTTACTTGCGTTAAAATAGAAATGGTGATGATTTAGAGATGCACATTTTTTATTGTCTTTAATATGAAGCTTTAATAATTTTATCTATGCGTCTAATGTTAGGCCATACTCATTTAAAGTATTACTTAATAATGTAACAATTCTTGGGTTTTGTTGTAGTACTTAATAGTAAAAATTGAGTCATGGTGCCTTAGATGACGCTCCAAATGAAAATGTCATATAAAGCAGTTCAATAAAAATCCGATAATAAGCTACCAAATGGAAGCATATTTTATTTTATATACATTTATAATAAGTAGATCAGAACCCCCCATTTAAGGAGCTATTGAGTGGCTTAAAGTTTGAAATCCATCAAAAAATGTGTTTATATGACAGCAAATTATTAAAGCTATTATTTGTACCACCCTGTATATCACAAAATGTTTTAAACAACTTTTAAAATTGAGTGTAATATTTATGGCTTCCTAAGAGCAAAATTTCTCGAGCCATTGTCTTCTATATGCTTTTCTGAGTAATTTAAGAGCCCATCTCTTAGTCCGTCTTAGTAGTCTTCCATTATTTACAGATTTATTTTTTCTCAAAAGTGTGACATTTTCTTTTCTATCTATCTTCTATTTTTCTATTTCTATTTATCTTAAGATCATTAATTTCTTCAAATATTTAAACGCATACTAATATGCAAATTCTACAAAGTTGTCTAAAAGTCAACAAACCCATATTTCAGCATCATACATTTCAAGTTTTCGCAGTAGATTTTATTTTTCTTGTGAATAAATCTTTAAAGCAAATGTGCTCATTTGTAGAAACCAAAGAAAAAACACAACAACAGTAAATAAAATTCGAGGAAGGCCAACTTGTGAAAAATGCGGTAATGCGCTCCAAAAAGTAGGCAACAATTTAATTATTCCACCTGCAAGGACACGAAAATAGCATAAAGGAAAGCGCAAGCCGCAAGGTAGCATAAACACAATTGGCGGAGGTGACGAAGACGACGACGGCGAAGAGCAACACATATTTTATTTCTAATAAGCAAATTACCTCAGGTGCCCAAAGGGAGGCGCTGGCTGCGGTTGAAGTGGCTTATGCGTGCCGCGGCGTTGAACAGCTGTTTTGCTAAGAGAAAAAAATTAAAGAAAATAGATAAGAGTATACAAGAAAAAACAAAGAAGAGCGGAAAAAAGCGCAAAAGAAAAAAAAACATATAGAAATTTGTGGAGATAAGCAAACGATGAACTTGCCACTTCGAAGTGCCTACTTTGTGTGGCACATAATGAGGCATTGAAAACGCGGCAGATTACAAAAGCCGCAAGACAAGTAAAACGAGTACGCCACTAAATGACAAGCAAATCAAAATGAGTCTCATCAAAAAGTCAAAAGCCATTCTAAATAACTGCTGTTGCTTAGTCAGCCAAAGTAAGTGATAGACTAAATGTGTTTAGTGAGGGGGCAGTAGCGAGCAAAGTAAAAGAAATACTCGTGCCGAAATGCTTATTGCTACTGCTTACTTACTAATATCCTGACTAAGCGCTGGTAAACGTCGACCCAAATATGACGACATCAACAAATGCTAAGCTATTAGTGGTGACCCAAGAGGAAGTAAGCTGTGCTGGCAGTGAAAATGCGAAAAGAAAAAGAAGGGAAAAAAATGAAGAAAATACAAGTAAAATAAACAAAAAGTAAGCAGCTTTGTTAGAAATAAGTTCGCTATAATCCACGTGGCTTCGCACACCTTTTGACATACCCACGACCTCATGCGGACTACGCATTTATATATGCATAAAAATACATAAATATATAGGAAAATTAGCTGTTAAGCTATTAAAGCTGTGTGTTTTGGTTGAAGAGAGTTGCCACCAAACTAAAACTGTTTAAGAGAGCATGCATTTCAAAAGCCATACTTTTAAATTTGTTGCCCTTTATTTCTTTAACTAAATAAAATACATATTACAAAAAAGATATACACTTAATTTTCCCTGATGGCTGCCACCTGTTTTATTATATTTTTCAAATAAATTTCAAATATTACGATATTGATAGTTTACTAAAATTCTTGAAAAATGAGAAGTATGCGATATTTTATTGAGTGTTGCCACCTGAATAATATTTTCAAATATTCTCACAATTTTTATACGTAAATCCGTACCAGGGCCAAACCTTGAACATGCTTATTGAACCAAATATACCATATTTTCGATTTCTTGATTGAGGCTTGACTTATTTAACTGTTGTAAATTGATGAAATATAATAAAATTTTCAACGGTGTCATATGGAAAGAGGGCATAGATATAGTTCAACTTATCAGCAGATGGAAAAAATCCTCATATCTTCAAAATTTCATCCCTATAAACATATTTTAGGAAACTTTAAATGTTGCCCTTTAGGACCCTTATTCCTGATACTGGAGTACAAATTAATCCAAGAAAAACACCTTCCATCGTATCATCTGCTTTGCCTTACTATTAAACCAGTAGAAACAGGAATTATTGGTAAGAAATTTTTGGACCCACTTAAGAAATTATAAATACTATGGTACGTTTTAAAAGAGAAAGTCCAATAAATTTGTAAAAGTTGCTACCAAAGTTAAAGTAGTGGCCACCTGTTGACAAAATTGTAAGTAAAAAATATTGATAAAAACTTATATTAAAATTTAAATTAAGAAGTTCGAAAAAGTAATATACTTTAGGCGACGTTGCCACCTTTCTAAAAAAATGTGAATCAGTAAAATTAAGAAGAAAATAGCATTACTATAACATGGTATCGAAATAACGTGATTTTAGTGAGCAGACATTTGACTATACTCTCAATCAGTGTTGTCGGCTGTTAAAAACATTTTGTTTCGACTAGCTAAGAATTTCTATAGGTAAAAAGGTGAGGTTAGAGAAGGTTGCCACTAGTTGACAAATATTTAATTCAAAAAATGTTATGCAAAGTTTGAGAAATTTCAATATTCATACAGATGTAAATTAAGTTGCCACCTAATTAAAAAATTTCATTCAAACGAATTCAGATTAAAATGTTAAAATATTATTTGTGTATAGTTATAGTAAAAAATTAAATTTTTCACATACATTTCAAAAAAAATTTATAAATGTTGCCACCTATTCAAGAATTTTGTTTAACTAATTGATGAAATTAAACACATAAATATAATTTTAATGAAAAGTTCGAAAAATTTTAATATACATACACATATTTAAAGGGGGTTGCCACTTATTTCAAAAATTTTATTCAATCGAATTAAGATTAACATATTATAAAGTTATTAGTATATGGTTATGGCAAAAAATTTTGTATTTCAAGTACATTTCACAATAATTTTATTAATGGTTGCCACCGGCTAAAATTATATAATTTAACTAAATTTATAAAACTAATAAAATATTATTAAATAGATGTCGAATAACTAGTTTTAAGCAGTATTTGTGTTTTATATATTTTTTATAGAGCTGCCACCTATTCAAAATATGCACATAAGTCAAACAAATTTGTCAAAAAAATTTAATATTGCAATACTGATTTCAAATGAAGTACATACGATCTATAGTTTATAATATCAAAATCTGTTTAGTTATTAAAATTATTTTTATAAAATTATTATTATTTTGTTTCAAAGTATACAAATAATGAATGAATGAGACATTTTTTTATTCACAAACATTTTTTTTATCTTGCATACTCAACGCCACACCTTATTAAATTCGGTACTCACAAGAGACCATTTTTCACTAAATTTTTATACACTGAAATATATAATATAATGAATAATATACATATAAATTATCAGAGTGACGAGCTGAGTTGATTTACCCATGTCCCTCTCTACGGCTGTCTGTATATATGCGAACTAAGTCCTCAATTTTAGATATCGATCTGCAATTTTTTACACGTCCTTTTCTCACCAAGAAGTTGCCTATTTGTCGGAACCGCCTCTATCGAACCATTATAGCATATAGCTGTCTTACAAACTAAACGTTTGAAATTAAGTTCTGGAGTGAAAAAGTTTTTTATTTGACAAAGTATCTTCACAAAATCTGGTATAGATTATTATCCAAAGCAACAGTACAATCTATAGAAAAAATTTTCAGATCGGATCAGTATAGCATATAACTGCCAAACAAACTGAACGATCAAAACCAAGTTCTTTTATAGAAAATTCTGTATATATGAAAGGTATTCTAGCGCCGTTGCAATCGAAGTTGACGTTTTTTCTTGCTTATATTTTTTCCCTTTGCTTCACAAAAAATACAATAAATATTTTTTTTTGAATAAGATTTCTAAAGATAAGGCTTTAATTAATGGGTAACGATCATAAAAGAGTTGTTATAGTTTTTATCGCACTTTATACAATGAATTTGATTTATTTTCAAGCATTTTTTCCAACAAGTGCATAACTCATATTATACATACATGTATGTATATATATATAATTACATGCAACCTGACAGCTTACAATGGCATAGCGATAAATGTACACAGAAGCCATTTTTGTCATTATGACATTATCAGTGACTGAAAAAATATTTTACTTTTAAACTAAAGCAAAAACAAACTAATGCAATTACGACAGCCAAAGCAATTGTCGTGCAAAAATAACTGCACTTTTGCTTAACTTGTGTGAAAAAATTGAAAAAGTGCGGATAATTGCACATGTATATATACTTATACATTTAAGTGTAAAAAACAATTAAAAATAAATCTGCAAACTGTAGAGCGAAGCTTAAACCGCAAGCGGAAACCGCACGCGCCTCAATATGTGCAACACTTTTTAACAATTACTTATTGCCAAGTAAATATATGCACTTGTCATATCATCATATTTATTTACAGAGCTTGTTTTTGTTGTTGGCGCTGCATTACAAAAGCTTATAAATATGAGCCAATTTGCTTTTGTTGTTTGCATACACAAATAATGTACAAATAATATACCAATATGAAAATTAACACGTACGTCCTGTGACACACTTATGTATATGTATACCAAATATGCCACAGGAAGCTGAAAAATGGTTTTTACGCTTGACAAAAAGCTGCTTAATAAGCATATAAAATACAAATATAAGAATGTATGTGTCTGCATACATATTACTACTAAGTAAGCAGACTAATATTCCACAAACACACACGTATATGCACAAGCGTTTGTTGGTATGCATTTCGCTCAGCCACTTAACTGTGTCGCACTTCACTCGGCGCTCTGTAAACATTAAATGCAGTTGAAAGCAGTAAATTTCATTTAAACGCACACACGCATAAGCATATGTTGAATTTATGTATTTATGCGCTGTGTTTATATAAACGCATATACGGGTTGCCGCACAAAAGTATGCTATGGCGTGTGTTTATTTGCGTTTCATAAATGCATTTAACAGGAAAATTCAATTTACACCGACAGCAATTAAATTTAATAAACTTTAGCGTTGATGGAATGTGCAGGGTTGCCACCACATACCAACGCAATGCGCTTTTAATACATGAAATACATTTTATTTTTCGTATTATTAAGGTTCAGTTTTGAATTTGCAGTGGCTTATTATTACAGCATATTTGAAAAAATTAAAAGTATTTTCTTCGTCCAAAAATGCGCGACAAAAATGAAAATTGACTGAGTGTGCTGTGAAGAAAAATTTAAGAGATAAATATTTTACACATAAATTTTCTAGATGTTCAAAATATTTTCAGACATTTTTTTAACAGTAATACTTAACTCAAAATTTGTTAAACCTATTAAGTTTGATGAAAATTTTGTAATATTTCTTAAATATTTATTAATTTAATTTAATCAAAATATTCAAATATGTTAGTTGGTAACTCTTCTCAAAAATAATTCCAAGTGGAAGCCTTTTTAAACTTTTTTATTTTGAAACTCATATTTTACCAATTTATTTGTCTCATTAACTTAATTAAAAAGGGTGGCAACATTTCTCAAAATTATTTTTAAATACAAGCATCACCGCAAAATATTTCTATAATAAAAGAAACTACAATGTAGAGATCAAATATTGTAGTTTCATTTATTTAGCAATTTTTCGACTTAAAAATTTGAAACAAGTGGCAACCTCTACTACAAAATTATTTTTCAATAAAAGCATTTTCATTACTTTGATCACAATATTTTATGTTAATATCAGTTACTATAGTAATTTTTCTGCTTAAAAATATGAAACAAGTGGCACATAATTAATTTTAATGAAAGTGTTCTGATAACTAATTATATAATATACAAAATTTTGTAATGATTTTAGCAACTCTGCTACTTAAAAAAATTAAACAGGTGGCAACCGCTGCTACAAATTTGATTTCTTTGAACTAAACTTAACTGAAGTAGAATACAATCAAAATATTTTAAAAATCTAACAAATATTGAAAATTGCCAAATCAAACAGCTGCCTTCAAGTGTCACTTAAAAATATTCGTCTTTGCTCACCGCTGAGTGCCTTTGGCGTAATTTGCTTGGCGCCTAGAAGCAGACTACACAACAACTTGGCAAATATATCACATAAATGGCAATTTGTATATGTAAGTTGCAATAAGCTGCAGCATGCAACATGAAAAGTGAAAAGCTGCCGCACACACACGCACAACAATTTATTGCAGAGAAGCCTTTCAGCAAAGTTTTGGGCCAAAAGCCACTCAAAGACGCGATACAAAGTGAAAAGTAAATGGAAATTGCTGCTGAACACAAAATACATACAGTTCGATTTAGGTGAATCGTAGCCACTCAAAGCGCACTTCAGCCAAATTGAATGTGACGAGATGCGAAGCCAAAGCGGCGCAACAGGCAATCAGCACATCAAATTGTTGTGCGTCGCGCACAAACGTGCAGTGTGTATATATGTGGTACTTGTAGGTGTGTACATGTGCTGAGCTTATGGTGTAAAAGTCTGCTGGCATATCAGCGAAATTCTATTTTAGCATTTATGTGCCCAAATTGTTGGCGGCGTATCTGGTTTTTGCTTGGCAGAGTGAAGAAGTAATATGGTGCTGCACGGCGTATGCGTAACACATAAATTTAAAAGTTTTGGCGCACATTTTAAAGCAAACTTTTATTCATCAGCAGATTTTCTTATAAACATGCGTATGATTTGAAAATGTAAACTCTGAATGGCAGAAAAAGTCGCTTTTTATTCTTTTTGCAACATATTTATGCTCACCTTAAGAATGCAAGACTGCAGATCTGCAATAAGAGATAAAAGTTGTTGAATTAAAATGAACGAAATGCTGATTTATACAATATTAAGATATAAATAATTACATAAAAGATATTCAACATATAATAACAAAAAAAACGTTAACTTCTACTGCTCGGAAGCCAGAATACGCTTTACAAATAAAGAAGTTTCCATACAAAAACTTAATTTTGATCGCTAAGTTTGTATGACAACTATGTGAACTATTGTGTTACAATCTAAAAAATTTCTTCAGATATCATGGCGTTGCCTCTAAAAATTATACATGCCAAATTTTGTAAAGATATTTCGTCAAATAAAAGAGCTTTTCATACCGGAACATCCTTTGCTCGGTCAGTTTTTATTACGGTCAGTTTTTATTACGGCTATATTATATATTTATATGATTCAAATAATTTCTTCGGAGATTTAAGCAATACTTTGTGAAATAATCTTTTCTAAGTTTCGTGCAGATATCTCTTCAGATAAACTATATTTTTTTATATAAGGCCTCAGTTTTGATCCTTCAGTTTGTATGGCAGTTATATGTTTAAATGGTTCAATATCGGCGGTTGCAACAAATGGGCAGCTTATTGGGAAGAAACGAGCGTGTGCAAAATATCAGATCAATATCTCAAAAACTGAGAGACTAGTTCGCATATATACAGAGTGGTGGACAGACAGATGGATTTTATTTGGCCTCCTGCGACAATTATATTTAAGAATATGTATATTTAATTTGTACGATCTCGCTTTTAGAAGAATCGCCTGAAATTTCTATTCATGAAAACTTTTTTAGATTAAGCCTTCATAGCAATATAAAAGCCCGCAATTTATATTCTTAGAACAGTACTTTGTTCTTCAATCACTAAATACTTTCCGTGCAACTGAATATATTCCCATGACTGTAAGTAAAGGAAAATCTCCTTAAACCACTTAAAGAAAAGCACAAGCGCCGACACATGTCTCACAGCTGGCCGAATCTGAAAACTTTGGCAAGTGAAAAATAAGTTGCAGATAACCTGCCGGAAATAGCAAACGACATGGCTTCACAAACACGCCGCAAAACAAAAAAATGCACGGAATTCAATGGCAGCCAGAAGTAGATATGAAGCTAAGAAGAAGAAAAAAGGTAACCGAAAACTTTTTAAGAAAGCAAAAAGATGAGTGAGTTGGTAGTTTGAAGTTGGACACCGGTAAAATGATAAAAAAAGCCGAATTGTAACCTTAGACCAACCACAAGCTGTATGCCAGGCAATATATAGTTGGTTAATGCAAAATAAAATAAAAGTAAAATCGGAGAATTAAAAAGCACGAAAGTTTTATGACAAGTTTTCCAGCTGTTTGATAAAAGCGGTTGCTATGACGAGCTGAACTAAGGCTCTGAACCGAAAGGCAGGAAAACAAATAGCAGTAAAATAAACGAGCGAAAAAAATGTCTACACACTAACGTTAACTCAGTCGAAGAAGCACCGGAGACAGCGCCTTGAGCAGTTACAGCAATTTCCACAAACATTGCAATGTGTGTGAGTATGTGTGATGACGTTGCATGCCACAGCGTGACATTGCAAAGCGCACGAAAACCGGCAAGTGCAAAGGCAACCTGACGAGCAGGCGAGTAAACGTGCGCGCGAATGACGTCTCAGCCAGTCTGCTGCGAGCAACAACTCAATGCCATAGCGATGACGACGACGAAGGCGACGACTAATTTCTCAGTGACATGCCAGCAAAAGGCATGCAATCACTGCCACACACATCCATACACACAATATTATACACACACATACATATTGTTGCATGACCGGACATGTCGTACGCTGTAACGGAACTTTTACACAACACAAAATGCTCTTTCACAGGCGACTGTTATGGCAACAAGTACAGCGGGGCGTATGAGTGACGCAAGGCAAAGCGCAGTTTTTGTATTAGAAATTTTTAATACATCACGCTGCGGGCGTACATGCGTAAGTGTCACGTTTCACATTTTTATTTATTTCTTATATCATTTTTTTTTTTTTAATAAAAATTGCGCTGAGGCATGAGGTGCTAATCCTTACAGTCTTATATATATTTTCATTCTCATACAAAAAAAATATAAAGTAGTAGCAGTGGAGTAAAGTTCATGAAGAGCGAGCAACATTTACATAACGGTTATGTAGCTTGTTTTTTACGTTAGCAAATAATTATGACAAAATAGTACTGCACAAATCTCATTCAAGTGAAAAGTATTAAGTAGTTGATACACAATTACTTTTTTAAATAATTTGATACTACATTGAAAAAGTATACATAAATATATGTATTAATTGGAGTGTGTATTAATGCAAAATCAAAATATACGGAAAAAAGTAATTAAATCAAATTTGATATAAAATGAATTAAAACAAATTTAATATAAATTAAATTAAACTAAATTTACTTAAATTAAATTAAATTAAACTAAATTAATGTAAATTAAATTAAATTAAATTCAAATAATATCAAATAGAATGTAAATATATTAAATTAATTTAATTAAGAGAAAAAAAATTGAAATAAAACAAAATAAAAGTATAATATAATATTATAATAAATGTTATCAAATCAAAATATATAATATTAAAAGAAACAGAAATAAATTAAATTAAATAAAATAACATAAAAAAAATAAAATAAAAGCAAAATAAATTAAATTAAATAAAAAAATAAAATTAAATAAATATATATTTAAAAAAAAGTATAATATAATAAAATAAATTAAATTAAATCAAAATATATTAAAAGAAACTGAAATAAATTAAATTAAATTAAATAACAATAAAATAAAATAACATTAAAAAAATTAAACATAAGTAAAATAAATTAAATTAAAAAAAAAATTAAATTAAATAAATATATATTTAAAAAAACAAAAGTATAATATAATAAAATAAATTAAATTATATCAAAATATATTAAAAGAAAATAAAAAAATGTAAAAGAAAATAAAATAAAATAACAAAAAATTAAATTAAACAAAATTAAATTAAATTAAACTAAATAAATATGTATTAAAAAAAAATGACAGTATAATATAATAAAATTTATTTAATTAAATCAAAATAAAGTAAGAGGAAGTAAACTAATGTAAAAAAAATAAAATAGAACAACATAAAATAAACTAAAATACAATAAAATAAAATAAGTTTGATTAAATTAAATCCCAATAAAATAAAATAAAAATTAAATTAAATTACATTAATTTACATCAATTAAATTAATTGCAATAAATAACAAGAAAATAAAATTTAAACAAATACAAAATAAAATAGAATGAAATAACATAAATTCAAATATTATATTTATAAATGTAATAAATACTGATATATAATAGAAATAAATAAAACTGAAAATTATTCCTATATACAAACAAAAAAAAACTGTAACTTCCGCTGCACCTAAGCTAAAAAAACATCCTTCGCAGGTGATAAAAATGCATAGTGTAAAGATATGTATACTGATTTTAATCGGCAAGCTTGTATGACGCTATAGTTGTTCAATCTGAACAATTTGTTCAAAGATTGTAGCAATAGCCCGAAAAACCGCTTATGCCGGAATTTCGTCAATATATCTCAACGAATAAAAAAGTTTTCCATACAAGGATTTCAATTTGATCGTTCAGTTATATGGTAGCTATATACTATAGTTGTCCGATATCAGCAGTTCCGACAAATGAGCAGCTTCTTGGTGACAAAACGACGTGTAAAACAATTTCAGGACGCTAGCTCAAAAACTGAGGCACTAATACGCATATTTACAGAGAGCTAGAAAGACGGGCATGGCTGAATCGACTCGGCTCATCAAGTAGATAATTTCAATATATAATTCATAGGGTCTGCAACGTTTTCTGGGGTGTTATAAACATTGTGGTAAACTTCATTTGTCCTGTTCAGAGTATAAAAAGACAATTCTCAGGTGATTTTAAATTTAATTTTTCAGATATTTTTTTCATTTGAAAGTAATTTTCAGACTTTTCAGAAAATTTTTTGAGTATCAACCCTATCATATTTATATATAGTACTTATACACTTTTTTCATGCAATCATTGTTCTGCTAATGTTACAACTTATTAGAAAGCCCTTAGATTGAAAAATAGTTTATATATGTAGGTTAGGTTTGGGAGTTGAAAAAAAATGTCAGTAAGTAATATTACTTAAGTATGATACTAAAGTATATTATAAGCCGTTTACTTAATATTTAGAGAAGATGGCACGAGAAAGCTAAAAAGACACGTTGAGGCGACGAAAAGGGTTTCTCACAAATTATATGGGTTCATTAGAATACTTAGTGAATTTTTTACCTGATGCAATCTATGGTAATACGCATTCACAGTTCGTTCTTTGTTTAAAGGTTGCTAGAAGTATTAAAAATTGCCGGCCATGGTTTTTAAACAAAACCCAAACATGTGCTTAGCTATACTCTCCACAAGCGTTAATCAAATATTGCATTACAATATGAGCATTTCCATATTATAACTATAATACCTATCTTCCCTAATAAAGTTTGTATCCGCTTTCATAAAACAAGCTTCTTATAATTCACCTATACAACATGAGCTGACTCATGGTATAACTTTCTTCACCAACTCACCACACAATCAAAGAACTTTGCCAAAGCTTGTCAATTTCATTACTGCCTTATCGTTCAACCACTTAAAAAGTAATTCACATAAAGAAATATACTTAAGCGCAGCTCAAGCTCGAGGCAATCATTTATGAGCTCACACTATACCCCTTTCAACAAATATGTAGCCGCCAACACTCTCCAACCTGGTAACCTCACTAATGCGCCGGCAACTTTCAACTGCGCCACGTGTAAGAGGAGTTGACGTTGAGCAATCGCTAGCGGCGTTAAATAAATTAAAAACTTTTCCAGTGCCGACAATCTTGAGACGACGCATTTGGCCGCCGGTGGAGAAGACTTAAATGACACAAATAGCTGGAAAAAAGGAAGTAGAATAGAAAGCAAGTGGCACATTTGTATGGGTCAC